TCTCCTCTCCCCGAGGTTGTGGTGCGAGCACGGTTTTCAGCCAGAGGGGAGCCGTGCCAGGGCCAGGCTGTGGTGGATGGCAAGGGGCAGGAAGAAGCTGGAGCAGCATGGAAACAACTTCCAGCTCCCCAGCCCTGGCGCAGCTACCATCTGCTTGCACCACAGCCGGGAAGCAGGAGTCTGGGAGAAGTGGTAGTGGCAGTGTGGGCACAGCTCCCAGTTGTTTGGCTCCAGTAGGGGCACAAGAAAAGCTCCCTCTCCCCTCCTGCTAACATGCCGTGGAAGCCACTAAGGCCCACGTCAGATTGGAGCTGGGTTGTTCTGGTCCATGGCTTGAAAATGTTGATTTCCCCTGGCCTTAGGCATGAGATAATTGCTGATAAGTTCAGTGAAGATGGTGCCTCTGGGCATGCCCAGGAGCAGAACTCCAGGCACCTAATTGACTTTACTAGAGGAAGTTAGGCCCCAGGGTGGTTGCAGGTGCATACTGATGAAAAGCAGGAAGTTTGTGAATCTCAGTCTCGTACTTAGTACTCATATTCCGCTTAAATTGCACTAGAAGCACCTAAGTACTTTTTTGGATGTAGTCTTTAGGGATCAAAGAGATTACCTGCCTTCCCAGCTGCCACCTATTAGCAAATAGGGATAGCGCTACTTGTATCCAGGAGACATTCACATACCGAGCACACATTAAAGACATAAAATCCATCTAGAATTGAAGCCTTAGCATGCTTTCTGTCCTGGATGTGATGGGTTATTTTCTGGTGCTACATCACCTGGCAAGTTTAAACAGTGTTCATAGTTATGCATGAATCCATAGTTTGCGTTTGTTTTATTGCTTTTACTTTGTCAGCAGTATGTTGCGGTCCAAATTCTGCAAATTACAGTTTGTTCTTACAGCCCATTCAGTGGGTGAACTGCAGTGCAGTCTATTCTCAGATGTTTCTTATACAGGTTTGCAACTGGTCTAAAGGGGCTTTGAAGGGCTGATAAACTAGAATATTACTCTTCGTCATCTAAATGACATGTGAACAGTTTGTGGACAGAAGAAATTTTGGGGGCCAGGAGATAGGAATTCTTGAATGCCAGTGGAGGCTCTGACACAGCGTGCTTGTGCTGTATGGAAGCACTTCTTTCAGTTTGCGTCCATCCTGTTAATATTTTTGGATGCTCTCTTGGTCTGATTCACAGCCCATTGAAGTTATTCATTGTAATCTGTCATGCTCCTGTCAGATATTATTGACTTCTCTGAGTTTTCGATCACATCCTTATTCAGTATCTCAGTAAAAAGTCTTGGTTTTCTCAGTCTCATCTCCTGTCAAAGACTTTCCCTGTGACAAATCTCCCTTGTTACCTGCATCTGAACTTGCTCTGTTTCTATTACATTTTCTTTGAAATAGAGTTCCTAGAATTGAAAGCTGTATTCCCGTGGAGCTGTTTAATAGTATTATAATATTCCCAATATTATTTTCTCCTGCTTTTTATGCAGCTTCATATTGCTTTTATTGTCACTGCTCTATGTGGATCAGAAGTTTTCATTGAGTTGTCCACACTCACTGCCTGGGCTTTTTCCTGAAATAAATTATGCCTCACACATGAGACAGAGGAATACATCTTTTCTTAGCAAGTTCCCTTGAGATCAGGAATTTCTCTGTCAACGAATGCATATATCACTGCTGAGATGAAAAGCAGCTTTTGTGCAACGAATTTCAACTATTGAGCATGTATTTCATTATTCCTACTGAAGCACTGCTTGGAAATTGTTTTTAGGGTGGGTCAGTGTATTTTGTTGCTCTTCTGGAGGTGGCAGGGGTGCTGTACAAACATCTATGGGGCCATCAGGTTATAAAAAGTACTTGGTTTCCTGGTTTGCAAGTGCTAATATAATGTGTTCAGGTCTTGCTCTCCAAGAAGCTGCCTGACTGCCTTTGACTTAGGTCTGTTTTTAAGAATCACAGCTCACCATACTAGTGTTACTGCAGTGGAGGAGTGACTGGAGGAGCCTACTTGGCCCTGGCTTTTTATTATAACAGAATGGGTCACACAAGCTTGCGAAGAGGAAATTTAATATAACCTTTTTGGAAGACCTCACTGAGTAATTTGGCTTCTGTCTGGTGTCCACAGCCCCTTTTCTATCATAACCCTAAAATGTAGTTTTTTTAATGGGGGCTGAGGTGTGAGCTATGGCTTCTATCTGCCTTGCGGGGTCTCATCATTCCCTGCCAGGCCTGGGATTACCTCTGCTCCCCCTCCATTTCATCCTAACTGGATTCTTCCTATTTCAATGGCACAGGAAGTTCTGTCTTCTTTTCCACTAGCAGGCAATTGCTGGGTTTTGCCTTAGAGGCAACTGCATCTCAGCGACAGATTGTTTGATGTAAATAATTAATATATGTGGTTAAATATAACTTTTGTTATAACAAAGTGCTACACAAATGAATGAGGCAGCATAAGTAAGATGGAGAGCATCAAGTACATATTTTTCTGGCTCTATCCAGGAGTGGTGATCAAAATCCAGGCGTCCAATTGAAGGCTTGCAGGCTGCATACAGGCCAGGAGCAGCTGGTCCAGGGGTCCTGCAGCTGCTTCTCCTATAGCCATGCAGTGCAGAGAGGCCTGGGGTGCATGCCCTGGCCATGGGCAAGTTCGCCAGCCCTGACCTAAGTAATATCAGTTCATACTTTTAACATACTCCACAGTTAAAGCTTGTGCATCAGTTTGTTAGTAAAGGGATTTGAGGTCCTTGAGGAGGAAGGGCACTATATAATCTTAGACTAGCACTTTTGTCTCAAAATTCAAAACAAAGGCCAATTTGGGAGTAGCTGCACTTTCATGTAAAGCCAGCTCTGGTGCGTAAGATAGCCGAACTCAGTTGGCCTTATTTTGAGCCCTCGGAAACTCATCAGGATAATTATTAGGAACAAATATGAAAAGGTCTATTGGAAATAAACAAATTGAGGGAATAAGAAACAAGAGCGTGAGAAAAAAAGAGGGAGGCGAAGAAGAGAAATTCTAAGGAAATAGGATGTGTAAAAAAAATGTGTTTAGGTTTAGTAACACTTAGCTTGTAAGCTAGGTGCTTTACATAGATTCAACAGATAGTGTTAAATATAATCAGTTTAGATCTTATCGTATTGAGCTGCCACTGCAACATTTCCTTGAGCCTGGCAAGATATCATTCTACCCTGATGTTCATCAGCACGGACTCTAACGAGTACCTCTTTATGCCCATTTAGGTCGGGGGCGTAGGGAGGGAAAGGTTCTAATATATAGCATCTGTTTTCCTTTAACTAGAAAAGAACCCCATTCCTTTGTGTCAAATCTTGGATCCAAAATTAGTTTCAAAGCTCCCCTGCATTGTTTGAAAGAGTTCTCTAGTGTTCAGTTCCACCCAGTTTCCTTTCACACACACCCTCCGAATATTTTTATTTATTTTTTGGATAGAAGCATGATTTCTCTGAGTTTTGTTTTTAAATTGCCACTCTGGTACACGTCCTGAAAATAACTCGCCTACTTTCATAATGAGCTGTTAGGATGCTAATGAGATCAAGTGCACCGTACTTTGGGTGCTCGGGCGTTGTGATGATGGATGATGTAAACACACCTGCTTGTAGAAATGCAGGCCAGGCTGATGGTTACAGAACAAGACAGGCAGTCAGAGGATGGAGGTTTTAGTTGCAGCTTTGCCACAGCCCCATGCTCTTAGCCAAGTCTTTTAATCACTCCGTGCACCATTTTCCCCCTGGATTTCATAGACATTACAGGCTGGAAGGGACCTCGTGAGATCATCGGATCCAGCCCCCCGCCATAGGCAGGAAGTCAGCTAGGATCAAGTGACCCCAGCAAAAGACCAAGTGATCTTGAGTGACCCCAGCAATTTCATGCATCAAATTGAGGAAATAAACCCTTTCTGTACTATATTCACAGGTTAAGTCAATTCAGCTGATGAGGTGCTCAGATGCTGAGGTGGTGATGAGGACCCTAGAAAGCCTTTAAAAAGGAATTAAATCTTGAGCAAAAATAGAATAACAGAAGATGTGTAATTTCTGTATTGTGATCATAAGATCTTACCAGCACAATAGCACTGGTAACAGCGTGTCGGCTTGGGCACCGTTCTGTTGTGATGAGTACTGTTTCACATTTAACAACTGCGCACCAGTAAAGATCATCCTCGGTTAATGCATGTGACATGCTGCTGAGCTGCTAACAGAAGCTGGTAGAGAGTAAGGATGAGATACGGCCTTTTAAGCAAAAGGAAATAGGGGACCCAGCAGCTTTGGCATTTTTTCCTTATTACACCATTCTTTGTTCTTCTCGCAGGAGAACGGCTGCACATTTCTGTTTTCCAAAAATCTCCCATGTTACAGAATAATGAAAGAAGCAAAGCCGGGTCATAGCAAATTGTAGCAGAGTAAACAAGAAAAAAGGAAACACATATTACTCAGCTGTCCAGAAATCTCTGTAATTAATACAACCATTAATTGCGTAATTCGTCCACTCACACACACGTATGCAACAGATTGCCACTTTATCCATTCCAACATAGTTAAATCCCCCCCACATCCCACCACCCTAAAAAAACCAAACTTCAGCCTCACGTGGATGTTATATAAAATAGCTTATTCTGCTAAAGTTGATTCCGAGTCAGGATGTGACACTTTTTACACTTATACACATATACACTTATACACAGCGTACAGCTGTATCCGTACCAGATAGTCAGAATAGCACTGAAGTCAATGGAGCTCTGACTTTTTAGACCCACCGAAGCTCGGCCCCACAGTTTGTAACACTCAGGTGCCCCAGGCAGGGTCTGACAGTACAGGATCCTGTGCTCTCATTCCCCAGCTACTCTCTTTCACCACCTCTGGTTTCAGTCAAGAGTCCATGACCAGTTACTAGGTCCTTGCAAAAAGGGGTTTTTGGGGGTGGGCTTTTTGGTATAGTAAATTGTTCAATCATGTTAATAATGCTTTTATTTTATGATTTGCTGTTTCCAGGGCACAGACAGAAGCTTGATGACTCTAAACCTAGTTTGTTCTCTGAACGCCTCAGTGATTTAGGGCGCATTCCTCATCCCAGTATGAGAGTAGGGGTCCCGACTCAGAGCCCACGGCCCTCTCTGAACTCTGCACCAAGTCCTTTTAATCCACAAGGACAGAGTCAGATTACAGGTAAGAGACAGACTCATAGGTTTAATTTGCACAGGTGGTGATAGCAATGGGTTATGGATATTTTTGTCTCAACTTAGATAAACGAGGCCATTACAGAGTAAGTGATACACACCTATCAAACCTAGCTGGGGAGCGGATTGTTTGGTAGCGTTTGAATCTGAAAAATGTTTTTCTTTCCTTCTTTTTTTTAAAAGCCTAAAAGAGAAAAATCCAGCAAAACTGGGCAGTGATCTGATGAAATTGCAATTGCCACGTAGCTCTGCTTATACTCCCATGTGGAGGAATGGCAATCCATAGAGATAGTCTACCTGCGAACATGTTTATGGAACAGGGTTTTTTAATTCACTCATAGGGAATAATGTCAGTATAAGGAAAAAAATACAACCTTTTCATATTGTGCCTTCCATTTAGCACTGGTGTTTATCATTGTCACGATGAACAAACTGGATTATGTGGTAATTACCCAGGGCTGCTAATGAGGGCTGTATGCACCAGTTATGACTGTGTGCCGGGGGACAGGATTTCACTGTGCTGAGAAAGAAAACATATAATGCTGTGTGCAACAAATTATGAAACTGCAATGGGATTTTAACTGCAGCCGGGCCAGAGGTTTGCAACGAAACCCCACAATCTAAAAATGCACTGGCTTTACCATGCTGTAACTTGTAACTTCAGTGAAAGGCTTAGTTAGGTCCTCCGAGATCTTTTGAGGCAGCCTGTGCCTAATTTTGGCTCTGATTTCTGCCAGTCTATATCTGTCAGATAGAGATATGCCAAGATGCGATCGATCCTTGAACAACCTAATAGCAGTACCAGAAACCCTTAATAAGTGGAGGTAAATAAGCAAGATTGTACTGTACCTGTATGGTGTGCTTTGCTTGCCGGGGCTGCTTTTATCACAGAAATACAAAACACATTGTAGCTGAGCTAGTGGTATCCACACTACATGTGCTTTGCCAGTTCAGCGTACCGGTTTTCCTATACCGGTAAAGCACTCCTAGTATAGATGTCACCTTTGAGTCAGTCTGGAAAGATTTATGGTTTCATGTTTCAAGTGGTTTTGACATGATACCAGCTGAAACTCAGCGGTTTTGACAAAGTGTTGTGGCTTTTTTTAAAAGAAAAAAAAAGTTCAACCAGTTTATTGATTTGCAGTAAGGCAGAGAAGTAAGTGGGTTAGTCTGAACCCAAAACTCAAGCGAAACCTCGCAAAAATTGAAACGAAAATTTCTGCTTGTGAACCTTTATGAACAGGAGCTGCCAAATTTCTCACAGGTCTAGAACAGCAGTTTGAACTGCTATAAAATACATGTATAAATATCAGGGGCCTTGCCATCTAGTAATATCTCAGAACTGGTTCATTTACCAGGCTTAGTTGGGTATGAGATCTGGATTTACTTCATATCATCCTAAAGGTAAGAATTGGCAAAACAAAGTCCATGGGTTTCAGCGTACTATTGTGTCTTACGGTAACTGAGGACATGACACAGCTCCCAGGAAAATGTCTGACTATATATTCCCATTTCAGTGGGGGCAGGAAAACCCCAAACCCTTCTCCTTCCGCCCACCTCCATAGTTTACCCATTGTGCAACCCTATACTTACGGAGCAGGGTGGAATTTTTCCTGACCCCATCTGGTGATCAGCTTATGCCCTGAAGCAGGAGGACTGAGAGCCCCTTATAATCTTCATCCTAGCTAAGTGTAACTTCATATGCCCTTCTCGTTCACATAAATGCCTCCTGTAAATGTGCTGCTGGGTTTGATTAATAATGTAGTTCTTTGCCTCGTTATGAATCAGCAGCAGCTCTTACAAATCTTGGAGGTGAATTTTTTAGGTGAGGTTTAAAATAAGCTTGACTGTAAAGAAGGCGTTGGCGTTTGCTACCCGCTCTGCAGAGCCAAAGAGTTAGTAGTTAAAACCTAGGACAATTATGCCAAGAGAGACTCGATCTAGACAAGAGAGAGCTGATGCTGATAGGGCAGAGGGAAATAACCTGGACAGGAGGATGAATTGACTTCTCCTTGTAATCGTGGAGTGTACTTTTTTCTTGCCAATGGTGGGAATCTTTAGACATCCTGACTTTTGAATCCCAGCTAGCTTTGACAACTCCTACTAGTCTGTTAAGTTTGCAGATAGTTATGATACACCTTCCATTTACACAGACCCTGCTGTAGTCGTCCACACCTTTATCTCCTCCTAACCTCCCCTTTAATAGAATGGTTAGTATGAACAGATTATATTTGCAATTGCTCTGTTAATTGCATTGGTTTCGGCATCTAGTTTGGGGTACTACTCAAGTCAGTAATCCTTAATAGGTAAACTACTGTGGGGCAGATCATAGTGCATGTATTAGGCACCTAAGTGGGCTTAGGTGTCTTAATGAGATCCTATCCACCCTGCTCAAGCCCATGAGAAACCGTTAATACAGATGTTGGGTGGGGGGAGGGTAGAGGGTGGAGAGGGTGTCTTCACCCTCACTATTTTTTTTTGTGCCTTCATTTTAAGGCTTAGTTGACAACATGTTGCAACAAAAATAGATGCATTAGTGGATCTGAGGGACTGGAACAGGGAAGAATAAGATTGCACTTAGGTGCGTAAATCCACTTAGGTGCCTAATAAGCAGAATAAGATCTGGCTTTCCTTGCTTCGGAAGAGTTGGCTCCTTCCACCGGGACAGCTGTGGTATGTTCGCTGGCAGTCCCTCTGTGTTCGTCCAGGGATGTTAAGTCTGTCGTTGTAAAAATCAGGCCAGAGAGAGACAAGGTCTATGCTTCAGGGAGCAGTGCAAAGCATCTCTTTGATCAGTCATTTGCTTGACCATAGAAAATGACTGAGTTTATGCCACTTTGGTTTAGTTATAGGGGAAGAAGTTATATATGCTACCCACTTCAGACAGCTAATTTGATGGGATGCTGTATTTGTTCCAAGTAACCTCTCCAGATGCTGTAATATGTGTCCACAAGTCAATCAATAATAACTCTCCACTGATCTCTTGACATGGGCTTTTCAGCTGATAGGGCATAGGTATATATTTCAAGAATTGACCCTTGTACAAAATCAAAGGTTTTTATTACATTTGATTGAATTAACAAGGAACTGCTTTGGAAATCCTTTATTTTAGTAACTTTGAACCCAGTAACAAAGCCAAACCCCCCCCCAACCCTCAACGGTTTTTGTTCCTAATAACCATAGCAGCAAACAACTGTTTCTCTGCAACATGTTATTATATAATAATTGTTTTATTACCAGGAAGCACATAATTAAGCTGCTTTTGTTTCATTCCAATTGAGGTTTTGCATAATTATTCCATGATTAAACATAAATTGTATTTAAAACCTGGCCAACTCCCATCCGAGTATTAAGAACTAAGCAGATGCCTTTACACGGTTGCTGGTTCGTTTTCTGATTTCTTCTCTTTTCCAAGGTGATGTTTATTTCCCTGTAGTACCTGAATGCAATTTGCAAAAAATTACCCCGTGATTCCAAACCTGCAATAGGATCAGACTGTTGCAGTGCAAGGCATGGCTTAGCACCAAGTTGCCCTTATTCAACATGGCATTTTAACTAGCATTCTGCAAAACCAACATTGAAGGGTCATTAAAAAACAAATCATCCAATAAGCAGATACCTTTGCTGAAGTAGTGCAGATCCAATTTGAGCCCTGCATATTGCTCATAAATCAAGACTCCTGTCTCCTCACATTTGGATGCTGGTATATTTGCAATGTCTTTTTATTTTTATGGAACTTAAATAACTGGCCGGCATATCGTATTACCCTCCCATTCAGACAGCAAACTGCTGCATCAATTCTTAAACATGAAACAAGGAAAATTGTTGTTTTTCTAAAATACAACCGGTGAGGATTAGCTTCTATCAGGCGGGAAAAGCCATGGGCGTAATGGCAAGAATGCGGTCAGTATGAGTAGTGGAGTCTCAGCTGCAGAGCTGTAGAAACTGTGAAGTGGGAGTTAAGTGAGGTTTCATGCTCCATCACCGTTGTGGCACCATCTGATCTATAGGCAATCTGTGACTTTAGTAACTGAAATAACAGTACTCAAAGGTTATGTGAAACATGCTTTTTTTTTCTTTCTTTCTGTCTTTTTTTTTTTCTCACTTCAGCAGCATGTAACTTCCATTTTTTCAGACTGGGCAAAGACTGAGCAGTCTCTCTCATTAACTCAGCATATTTAGGGTCGCAGCAGACAGACTTAATGCATTTAGGGCTGGACTCTACAGCCCAACATGGATTGAAGTCAGCAGAAGACCTAGAAGGGCTCTTAGATGGTGAACAGAGCAACATGATAATTGTGGGCAGAGAGGAAAATCCATCCCTCTTCAGACGGCAAGCACAAAGCTTGCGAACCAGGGAAGTTTCCCCTAATTCCAGTTTTGAGCCTTTAGATACTGATACGCTGCATGCCACTCATCTGCACAGAGGTGAATGCCACCTGGAAGGACAAGACCCTTTTCTGGGCACAGTGCTGTTGTGTGACAGGAAGGGATGGGGTGAAGCAGCTTGCTTACCCACAAAATCTGTGCAAAGGCCTTGTTTAGGTGTTGCTTCTGTTAGTCCCTTAAGAAAGCCAGTTTATCATCAGCAGGGCGGTTTTGCTCATATAGAAGATTACTATACTGCTTAAACCCAATGTGGAGATACCCCCACACTGGGCTGGATTTTACTTTTAATGCGAGGTGGCCCAAAACACAGCCCAGGGTGTTTTGCACAGCCGGATGTGGCTGCCTTCTCAATATGGCTCAAACTACAGATGCCAGCATGTCTGGCTGTGGACCTGGGATTTCTACCAGAGGGTTACTCTGCTTTGAGAACAAGGGTAGCTGTAATCAGCTTTATCTCATGCAAATTAATTGCATCCTTCAGGCAACTGGCAAGTAGCCATTGTGAGCCTGTATTAGGTAAAATTTGTCTCTCTCCCCTTCAGGTATCCTATTCTTTTCTCATTTTACACTGTTTGGCCTTCTAGCTAGAGGGGGGTGCTT